ACTGTCCCCCAGACACACAGGCTGTCCCCCACTGTCCCCCAGACACTGTCCCTCAGACACACAGGCTGTGCCCCAGACACTGTCCCCCAGATGCACCCACTCTACCCACAGACAGTCCCTCAGGTACATGCACACACAGAGAGACATACCCCAACAGTGGATGCAGACTCCCCACACCAGCGACCCCCTTGCCCCACCTGCTGAGAGCACCGTTTCCCAAGGTTTAGCAAAACAAGGTTCCACTGGAACCTCAGCTGATGTCCCTCCCATCCCAGTGGGCCCTAGGAGGGCTGAAGGGGGCAGGGCCGCTGGGAAGGAGGGAGGGGTGACACGTGATGGAGGTAGAGGGACAGGACCCCCAACTGCAGCCTATCCCATGCAGTTTTCACAGACCCTCGGGGGCCACCTGAAGCTCAGCCCCCCACACCTCACTAACCCTCACGGCCTCTGCACTGCCTATCCCCTCCTGATACACCTCCCCAACACCCCCTCCTCCCTGCCCTCCGCCGGGGGCTGCAGTGCCCCTTTCGGGTGAACCACGTCTGAACCACAACCAAGGCCCTGCTCTGTTCAGGTCTGTCCAGGGCCTGGCTGTGGGGGCATTCCACGTGTCAGCTTCTGCCTCCCTCCACTGCCCAAGGCATTCGTGACCTGCAGACCCTGAGCACCCTTCCCAAGGAGCTGGACCAGGCACTGCCCCTCCCCGGGGCCCCATGTGCCGGGGGCTTCACCCCATACCAGCCCACGCCGCCCACACTGGGGCCACGGACACAGGTGGAAGTGAGGGGTGCAGGAACCACGCGGCCAACACATCGGGGCTGGCTCCATTCCCAGTCAACCCTGAGAAGCCCCAGAAATTTCCAGCCCGGAAGGAACCCTCTGGGTGGGGGTAGGTGGTCGTCAGGCTGACCTCGTTGGGACTGGCCGTGAAGTGACATTGGACGGCCAGCCAGGAGCCACCAGAGCCCTCCCCTCCTGGAGAAGTCAAGTGGCCTGGAAAAGAGGACTCAAAGGACAGTGTGACGGGGCCTGAGCAGAGGGCAGGGAGGGGAGGCAGGGCCTACCTAGCCTGGCTGGACACCCTGGACCAGGCAGGGCAGGTGGGCACTCTCTGGGAGAGTGGGGGGGGGTCCCTGTGCTGATCCCCGCGGTGAGCAAACACTGGTGGGGGGGCGGAGCTGGGAAGGCCCAGCCACGGCGGCCCTGGGGCCAGTACCCTCCCCAAGAAGGCCTAGGAAGCAGGGAGGCCAAAAAGAGGGGGCACGGATGAAGACCACCACAGGGTGGCCATGAGAGGCGGGGGTCAGCCTCTGCCCTGGCTCTGAGCCACGCAGTAACACACACACACACACACACACACACACACACACACACACACGGGCTCCTAGTCAGCAGGCCCAGGGCGGCCCCTGGGGGCTGGACCCACGGGATCTGCAACGGAACTGGTAGGACCCGAAGGGCAGGTGGTTGCCCCAGAAACCAGGCCGTTCTGGGTGCAGGAAAGGGACAGCTTGACCCACCGAGCAAGCAAGCTGGCTGGGGTGTCCTGTCCAACCCACTGCCCAGGAGCAGCACAGCGTAAGGCAACGGGCTGGGTGGGGCCCACTAGGTCCGTCCCCTGCCCAGGAAGCGCCCGGGTGGACCTCCAGCAGAGCCCTGACCAGGGCTCCTCCTCTTCGCCATTCCCAAGGCACACACGGGAGCCACAGAGCGTCCCCTGACATGCTGTTGCCCTGGGGGTCCCCACAGGAACTGCCACAGAACCCACCCAGAGGGCTCAGCTGGATGCCCTGGTGGCTGCGTCCAGAGCTTGCCAAGTCTGCCACACTCCAAGCGGACCCCTGCCCGCACCTGCCACCCATCCCCCACCTCACAGAACGTCCTGCACCTAGAACTGGTCCAGCATCACTGGCTCCCCAGAGGGGCCCAGCCCCTGTCCCAGCAAAGGAACCAAGACGGACCCGGTCCACTGGGCCTCCCTCACATGCTGGTGCTGGACCCAAAGGACAGGGTAACATGACAGGAGGC